TCTAGTAGTTCCAAACTGCTGACCTTGAGGTTGGCAGCCCAACTCATAACCACTACGTTACCAGAGCGCCTTAATAACAATAATAGCAGTGTTTAAAAAAGAAAGAAAGAAAGAAAATGGCAACTCTAGACTAGACTGACATCATGAGGGAAAAAAACTCCACTTATATGTAGAGATTTTCAAAGAACCCAGTATACTTGGGCAGAAAACATGGTTGTGAATGAACTGCATGGAGAAATGTCCTATGCAACGAAGCTGGGAAAGGTGGCCAAGGCATAGTGATGAGAGATTGAGAGTCAGGAACTAAGGAAATATGAAAGATCTTGAAATAAAATCCAAGAGGCACTTATGATGCCATATTCAGTTATTACATTAAAGATAAGACAGAAAGCAAAACCACTAGTATCAAGTTCCCATTTACTTAAAAAACACCTCAAAAATATTATTCTTTCAAACCCGAAAAACAAAACTATTGACCCCTCTGACCTCTAACTTTTGAACACATCTGATAACTGAAAAATGAGATGGGTAGTGAAGTAGATATTAACCTCTGCTATTTAAACAGAGGCTAAATTTTAAAAAGCACTGAACCAGGATGTGAGGACATGAGTTCTAGTCCCTTCTCTGTAATAACTAGTCTCAGGACTATAGTCACATCCCCACATCTCCAGAATCCTTGTCTATAAAAGGAGAGGTCTAGAGGCAATTCTCTCCAGACCTTGCTCAATTTGAGTGTATGTGTATAAGGATATATAAGTAAAGAGTTTCCAGTTTTCAGAGAAAAGGGATCTCTTTCTAACTTTAAAACTCTATGCAGTGTATGACATTAAAAAAAAAAAAAAATTACACCAAATAAGAAATCTCTAAAATATTGTCTTGGGCGTGATGTCATGACCTTTTGTGTCATCTTTACAATTCATCTATGATTCCTCAAATGAAACAGAAAATTTGTAAAACATGCTCAAATATCAAAACAAGTAAATGTATTTTAATATTTAGCACTGAAATGAAAAATTACCAACATCTGAAGGCTGACACTAACAACCTATCATTATAAATCAGCCTGGAAGTATTTTGATTTCTTTTAAAAACTATAATGAAATTTTTAATGGCTTCACTTTTTATATTAGATGATTTAATTTACCTGAAAAGTGTCTTGGCGTGTGATGTGAAGGAAAACTCAACTTCATTAATCTTTCCCAAATTATTTGCTAATTAAGCTACACAATGACATCGGTTCATTAAACTTCCTTGATCAAACATTATTTTTAGTTCTGTGTGTATGGTGGATCTTTTTCTGATTTACATAAATCCTGCCACCATTTATACTAAGTACCACACGGTTTCAACGAGTTTGTAATTTCAATGATTACGGTTTTTTCATTTTTACAATTTCTATTTGATTCTTTTTATAGTTCCAAAATTTCTCATAAAATTATCTACCTTGTCATCTAATTTCTTAAGCATACTAATCCTAGTTATTTTAATGTCTGTGTTTGATAAATCTATTATCTAGATCAAATAGGGGTCTATTTCTATCGCCTGTGTTTCCTCTTGAGTCTTAGTTGTTGGGTTCTCTTTCCCTGATTACCTAAGTAATTTTTAAATGAGAAACCGACTTTGTACACAAATCTCTGTAGAAACATTTCAAGGGTCTGGATGACATTATTTTCTACTCTTTGTGAGGGATGAAATATTTCTGGTTTGCCTTTACTCCTAACGATGCAGACTTACAAAAAGGGTCATCTGAAAGACTGGGGATCAGAATTCCTCCTCCTTAGCCAGCCTTGAACTCTAATTTTTGTTCCCTCACCCTGGTGTGGTGCTGTGGGTTAATGCACTGGACTGCAAATTCAGTTTGAACTACAAACTAGGCAGTTCAAGCACACCAGCTTCTTCTAAGAAACCCTATACAGGGTTGCTATGGGTTGAAACCAACTCAATAGTACAATAGCCATATGAGAGTGTCAAAACCTCAGCTCAAATATCCACTGAGATTATGATTTTAATTAATTTGGAGAAACTAACATCTTTGTAATATTCTGTTTTCATCCAAAAACATGGTATAGACCATAATTTACTCAAATGTTAAGTTACATCTCTCATGAAAATCATGTAGTTTAAACTGTTTGTTTGTTTTCTATCTAGATATAGACATTTCTATCGGGGGGGGGGAGATTTAAGTATATAAACAGTAAAAGACTTTTGGTTAATATTATAATCACATATATTTAATACCTATATTTTATGAAATCCCACTAAAATGACCATAAGGAAAACATTTAATAATAAATGTTAAACCCACTAGGACAAAGAAAACTCAAGAAGAAACAACAGTGAGGGAGATATTTTAAATCATTTTGAAATAAGGAAAGCAAATAGAGTAAATGACCTAACAGGACAAATAAAACTGCCATCTAAGAAAGCAACATCCCTCTAGAAACCAGAGACACTCAGAACTCTCATGCTCAGAGACTTCTGGGACCAGGGGGAAGGACGGCTACAAACTGTAGACTGATTGACACACTCTCTATATAGTGATTAGATCTAGAAGTTCCTTCCTCTTCACTGAGCAACTAGGAAGTTACTATCTTCTTCCATCTATCTACCTTTAAAGAGATAAGAGGTTTATTCTCTGGTGAAAGACTTTGGATTCAGTAACAGGAAACATAGGGGTTAAACAGTAGATTAAATGAAAACAGTGGAATCCCTAGATTCCCTTCCAACACATCTTGTTCTCAGAACATGGAAGCAAAGTGTATGTCCTTGTAGCAAGAGGTTAAATGTTTCTTTCTGGAAAAACTTCGGAGCCCCAAAGAAAAGATCTTCAGATATTACCCAACACAAAGAACCCCCCTGCCTTGTAAGTGAATTGAGTGAACTGAACAAGACTATCTGCTTTGCTCCCAAACATACAGCTTACAATAAATTTTTAACTCCTTCACTCTTAAAAATGGACAGGTTAAAATCTGATACTTAACAAATGCTTCCAACATAAAAGATGGAGTCCAAAATCAAGCAGAAAAAGATAGAGAAATCGATAAGTGATAAGTAGAGGAAAGAAAAAATTTAAAAATCCATTAGTTAATATCCTAGAGAAATAAGACAAATATAACATCCACAAAAAGAAAGCAGGTGCTATGAAAAGGAAAATTTAAACATGTTAGTCAAATACAAAACAATAGAAAATTGAATAACAAAAAATTTTAAACTGCTCCAGGAAGTATTACAAAAAGATTAGGAAATGAAAAATGAGGGAGAAAAGATTCAAAAAAATAAATAAAAGTCAATTAAGTATGTAAAACACAAACTCTAGTCCTTAGATGTATAAACATTAACCTCTTTATAAATTTCCCCCCTCAATACTAAGTTCCTGTGAATGAAAGACACATTAAGACAGACTGCAATCTGAGTTGTTTATATTAAAGGTCACAAATGGATGTTAAATTCAAGCCTGGAACTGAATTCACCTTGACCTGGCTCAACTTTCAGCCAAACAACAGACAGGTGAACAATAATACCAAGTAGATATGTTCTCCTTAGAACAATCAACCATAAGAGATCAAAAAGGCAGCATTTGCCCAGGGAGAAAGCTCGAAAGGCAGGAAGGGATAGGAAAGAAGGACCAATGGAAATGGTTCACAGGGAGGGAAGTGGGAGGCGTGCTGTTACACTGTGTGGATTGCAATCAATGTCAGTGTCACAAAACAAAATGTGCATGAATCAAATGAAAAACAAACTTGCTCTGTAAAATTTCACCCCAGTTACAATGAAAGGTTTAAAAATAAACAACAACAACAAAAATAGATGTTAGAGAAGAAAAGTGTCATTTCTTGCTTCAGAGGTTTAGCAGAGCTGGGCCTAAAAGTCTGGTAGACTTCAAAGTCCAAAAGCCTTAATATAAGGAAGACTTTCCCAGGGAGAGGGAATGGAGAGAGCAGAGGGGCAGAAGTCTTGAGACACAATAATAAATTTGTATAGGCTGAAGCAAAAACTGTTCAGTACAAGATAGTCATGGTCAGAGAGGCTGCATGCTAATCAAGACCCACAGAGGCCTTCTGCAAGTTAGGAGCTGTGAACTTCAGCCTGGAACAAGGAATATCCCCCAGGTTCAATGCTACTGTGGAGGAGAGAAAAGAGCACTCAACCAGGAGGCAGCCAACTTGCCCCTGTAAGTCCAGTACTACACAGCAGGTCACTTAATCACGTTAGAGGCCAGCTTCTCCAAATGCAAAACCGAGGTCAGAGGTGAGCTAATTAAGTCAAAATTTTAGTGAGGAAGGCTTTGCAATTGCTCAGGCATCAGATTATAAGAATTTAAACTGGAATGGTGATAGCAAGAATAGGAAGGTAGGTGCAGAATAAAAATTTTAAGAAAAACCATAACAACATATATTAAGAAGCATAGTTGCAACTATGTATTAAGTGTCTAGAAAGCACAAACCCAATAAAATTCAGAGGATTACCTGTAGACGATCAACATGAACTTTGACTCCTCCAACCATTCCTTTTTTAAATGCTGCCAGCATATCCAATATGGGGTTGAACCGGCTACCTCTAAAAATATAAGCAGAAAAACAAAATGTACATATTAACAATGGAATGAGAACATAATAATCTAATATTGACTAAGTGCACTATACTTATGCCAAGCACTAAGCCACACATTAAGAGGGAAACAAAGAAGTTAAAGATTCTGCTCTAAAAGTGTTCACGATGTGAATGCTGGAGAGATGCATGCACTCACCTCTTTCACTGACTCACCTTATATTGTCTTCCCGGATTAGAACAAGGAAAAGTGGACGTCCATGCATTTTCCAGTATTGCTTAATGAACTGTAGTGCGTTCTATCAAAACATAAGAATGAGATACAATATAATGGGCATAGTATCTGAGCTGATCAGGATGTTTAGGCATTAGTGGCAAACAGGCAAAATAAAACCCTTATTTATCAAGACACATTCATGATAAAACTGTTTGGGTACATGCAAGTTAAACTAGAAATCATTTTGATTTTAAATTTTTTTCTTAAAAGTAATCACATCTTACCAGGGAGCAGGTTGGCAGGATATACCCTTTGGATGGTTGATGATGCATGGAGGGGATTGTAACCATGGCAATGAAACGATATACGATATGATGAATGTAAAGCTAATGTTCTCCCATGTAAACAATTACCTAATTCACGATAAAACTTTTTTTAAAAAAGTAATCACATCTTTTAAAGTTTTGTTTTGTTTTTTCCTAAAAAATACAGGTCAAGAATGGTCCCAGGGCAGAAAGGTCCCACAGTTGTCATCCAGAATAGATTTTTTTTTTCTTTTAAATTTCTACCATCATCATATGCTTATATAAAACTATGTAGTCTGAAGTATGGTGAGGCCTGGGGTCTCCTGAGTCCATGAATAAGGACATAGTAATGGAGGGCTAGAGCTTAGAGTGGAGCATTCAGCTGATACGAAGTAAGGGGAGACATATAAGAACACCCAAACTTGCAGATAGTACCCATTTAATATAACTTTGATTACTTAGAGATCACAACTCCACTATACTAAGACAAAAATTTTTTGATAAAGGAAACAAGTGTACAATGCTACAATTTGATGAACTTAACCTATACTTATGGATGCAGTAGCTCAAAATACCAACTGAAAGTGAAGAAGTCTTCATCCTACCCCCTCTGTATAAGGGGGTAGTAGGGACAAGCAACTTAGACATGGGCTACCTAAAATGGTACCTATAAAGGCACAAAGTAACTTGCTCACAAGTTTTCAAGAGGGAATTTAGTTTCAGAGTGTGCAAGGGAAGGGAAAATCACCAATGAATGTTTTTCATCTTGTCTAGACAGGTCTGGTGAAAGGACATGAGGATAAGATTCTTAGGATTCAATAGTGAGTAGTTGGTATCATGACTAATTGCGACGGTCACAATTGTAAAGGTAGAAGTTTTGTAACATAAAGAAGGGAGCAGTTAATCTTACATTCCAGTAACAGAGGACCCTAGGAACATCAAGAGAGAAGAGCATGAGCAGAATGTGGGACCCTATCCAGAGATGTAGCGACACCCAAGATGGAAGCAGAGATGAAGACATGGAAAGACAGAGTAGCTGAGGACTCAAGACTTATTGAAAGAGACAGACTGTTTGCTGGCAGCCAAGAGTCAGGCTTATAGAACGTGCCTTTTGGTTGTTTAAATTATTATACATTCCTGAGTGTTTTGGTGTACATTCCCAAATGTACAAAACCAAACAAAAATCATGTGCCAGGCACTGTTCTGAGTGCTTTACACATATGAGTTACCTTAATCCTCACAATCAGTTCTATTACTACCCAATTTTATAGATTAGAATACAGAGGCAAAGGGAAGTTCTGTAGCTTGCCAGAGATCATACAATGGTGAAGTCAGACTTTGAACAAAGGCAGTCTGGTTCCAGATTTCATTATCTTGGACATGATTCTAACCTTCCCTATTCTGCAAGTAGAAATGGAAGGGGAAAGAGTTTTAACTCACTGGAAGCCAAGAGTTAGTTGAGGTTTTACTGGGTATTCTTTTTTTTTAAGTTTTTATTG